ATAGCTCAGTAGGAAAAATGAGTGCAAGACCAACACGGGCTATTGCAGGAAACTGGTGCTTACAAATAAATGAGAAACGATAGGAAATCTTCGATTTACACCATACATACACATGTACATGTATATGCCAACACTGCCGTCTTTCTGTGGACCGGCGCGAAACAGGTCCACATAATACAGGTTGTGCGAACCTTCTGTGACCTGGACTGGCCCAGGTCCACACAAGATTTCTAGAAAACAGTTTAAGAGAGATTTGGGGGGTTCGTGTTATCCGCAGCAAAAGGGAGATGAACAATTAATAGGAAACCGTCACTCATGCCTAAGTAGTTTTCACGGTTCAAAATACATGTACATGTATTTAACTACATGAAAACAAACGAATGTCCACACGAGGCAGGCAACGGAAACATGTGGACGTGAGGCCAGGACAAACCTCTTGAGCACTTTGGAGAAACAAAATTGCAACACAACGTCAGAAACGGCGCGTCATTTCTGAAATAAATCACCGAAATGTGACACACGCGCCTTGCTTTTGTCTGTCATTGATGCACCCCGGTCGCGGCGTGCTGAAAGTGGCAGGGAACTCGTTCGTGTTCCTTCAAACTCCTTGTGCCCATGGTGAGCAAAACTCTCCGAAGTGACGGTAATTCAATTTCGGCTGGTCGTGCATTCTGGCGATGCTTTTTTTCTTGGCAAATAAGATTCCCATCTTCCCACTCAACCAAAGATAGGCAGACGTGCGTTGTCAGTCATTGTTACATCCAGAGTTTAATCTGTCAAACTTACCAAGAATTCAAAGGGATGTGAGTTGTGGCATGTCACTTCCTTAGAACAAACAAGAGACCAACACAGTGACAAAAAAGAAGAAAAATTCACTTCAGGAAGCACTAGCTACCGTCGTCCGATTGATCACGTACATCAATCACCCCCGTCAGTATCCTCATACACACATGAGGCTACACTTTCAACGAAGGAAGGAAGGGCTGGATTATTAAGTTGCAGCCCTTTGCCGTCCAAGAAACCAACACCACCTTCATAGCACTGAGAGGCACTGTAGCCTCGCGTTGACACTAAGCTGAACCAATGATAGTTTAAAGCTTTCCAGGAATCTTAACTTAAACAAATCAACACACTTTATGATGTTCTTGACATTATACAGGGATTCTGCTGATAACGTACTGTTCAACCGACGAGGGCGTGCTTCTGCTCGAGGCGGATAGAGATCCATTGTAAAGTACGTTCTGTACTCTTGACGTCGATAAAGAACAAATAATATGTACATTTCAAAGTTTTTACTTCGAAACATATGTGGGGCCAACAAGTCGGACAAAAATGCTACAAAAGAGGTGGAGCTGCAGGTCAGGCGAGATTTCGCTGTGTACCATTGCACGTATCGCACATTCATCGCTGTGGTATGGTCGGGTCCATCTCTAAACAGTTCACCATTAAAAATCAAAGGCAATCATGAGGCAAAGTATACACGAATCGGAAATCAACCATTCACGATTTATTTCACCCAATCCACCGACTAGCCTCTTCAATCAAACCAAATCCCACTCGCTATATACAAAATGATAGTGGTGAGGCAGGTCCTTGTCGCTTCAGCCAGGTTTCTCTGGGTAGGCTGATCTCATCTCGTCAGCCTTATTTTTAGTTGCTGTTCCGTCTTCGAGGACAGCCCTAATCACAAACTCGGCCCGAAGCAGAGTTCGCTCGCCCAAATCGGCACTCGCTACTACCAATCACAGTAGGAATGGCCTCTGTTGCCCAAGTTCATCTGAAAAGACTTCGACTTGACATGTTAAAACTTTTTTGACTGACTTGTAGGCTCGACGAGAGAACTGGCGGTACTTTTCACTCACTGGTATTAAGCCTTTTGCCAGTTAAGTTGAAGTTAAATAAAATCTGGTACACTGAGCTCTGTCAGTTCAAGCGAGAATAACAAAACCACACTGTTGCTGTACTTCGTTTTAAGGCAGGCATTTGCTTAGTTGCATTATGAGAGACACCTTGCATCAATACACTGTTTTTAATGGATAAAAAGGGCACAAAAGAATCAGTCCATTCCAGAGATGGTGGATGCTATGCAAAAGCTTGTCCCTAATAACGAGGTATAGAAAGTCTGGGGAATTATTGTTTCTCATGTCTGTGTGCAATCAGACAACTCAATATACCAGATTTCTCCAAATTTCTCCAAAGGTTTATTTCATTCCTTGCCTTGTAGCACGGTGGAGTCGTTTAGTCGCATATTTTACCATCACAGTTAGGTTTTTAGAACCCTTGGATCGAAGGCCGAACCTTGGTTTAGCACTATATACAAAGGACACCATTTAATCAATGGATATAAGAGCTGAAGAGGGACCCGCATTGTTGACTGGTAGGCCTTGTCGCTGTGTGTTATGGGCAGGAATGCTAATATATGGCCCACTGAACACGGGTCAATGCCACACTATTCGAAAAAACACGTACATTCATATTTATGTATGACACGGTGGTCTGTAGAGGCTTAAAGGAACAATGATTTTTGGCATGATTCATGCGCCTGTGAGAAATCTCAGTTTGTTCTCAGAGTTCTAATAAAGTTAGATAGTCAAATTACAATATGAGATATTTTGTTGGGAAAAAACGTAAGTACTAGGCTAAACGAGGAGCCAAATTCATATGTCCTTTGTTAAATTCTTATTTTACAATTTTATGAGCGCAATTAGCCACCTATACAGATAGGGACGTCACTTCGTGGAACAAAACATTTCGCTTTTCCGTGGCCAACAGTGACCTATGTCGTTTGCGCAAGCGTGCGCGGACCATTTCAAGTTAATCTATGTGAAGGTTCGTTTAAAATCCTTCACTGTGATTCGCGTGTATTTTTTCGATTAAAAAGGTCTTAAAGGGTAAAACTTTACAAAAGCTGAAGGAAATTAGAAGGGGAATTCCCATGGGAGGGCTAAGTATAACCTATAAAATTATTAAGTAACTCTTAAAAAATTCTCAAATAATTCATTGTAAAGGTTTATGTGTATTCCACTGCCAATCTGTTAAACTCGAGATACAAGAACCATGTGCAAAAGAGTTAGTCTCGCAATCAAAAGGAACAAACCAAAGTTATACTGAAAAAGAACAATTAACGTCTGTTTAGATTCTCAGAAGTCACGAACACTTGTTTTCTATTTTCGCTATTCTTCAAAGTGTACCTTCTTATCATTCAAACATGTTTTTCCACAGATACCCAGGGTCAATCTTCTGAAGATGCTTTGAACGCTTCTATTAAAAAAAAGAATTACAAGAATATATCAACGACCTACATTTTTGAAGAAATATCTACTGCTTTTCCAATAACAATGCTTGAAACGTGAAAACTGCACGGGGTCAAGGTATAATATGTTGTATTGTATAATGTCGATTTGTTGTTAACCCATCAGAAAAAGGCCCTATTTAAGGGAAACGTTGTAAGGGAAAACACAATAGTTTAAAGACTACTTAAAAAGAGTTAAGAGTTCTGTCTTAATGTTTGACTTGGACTGACCATTATCAGTTACTATGTCTTTAGTTTAATTTCAAACCCTACATGTGGAAGTAAATGAAACAGTTTCAGAGTTGTCTCTCAAGTAATTTAAAGGGCATCAGTGACTTTTAATTAAATGACATTAGTGAAGGAGGTAAACCAAATATCAGTGTTGTCTCGTAATCATTTTAAATATCACCAGTGATTTTTAAATGATATTAGTAACAGCTGGAGAACAGCTGATTTAATGATGCGGAGTGCTAGCACTGCAATGCATCGAAAATCTGACACAAACAAACAGTGATGCTTTGGGTAAATAAAATAAATTTCAGGCTTACTTTTAAAAAGATCTTGGCTTACGATAAGTGTTTTTAAAATTCACTGATTTTCTCTTAAGGTTTTCCCCTTGAATTCTGATGTAAAATACTGCAGGTGAGTCAGTGCGTTAAGTGATAAATATCTTCTCGTTAATTCCAATTTAGGATTGACGTGAAAAGTTTCGCATGAATTTGTACATAAAATATAGTCGAAGAGAGAATCAGAGTGTCTTTCATGTCCAGTGTCACATTTTGCAGTATGTAACATATAATTACATGTAGTTAGGTTTTTACATATTTTGCATTATTAACCAGAAACATGGCAACTGAATATAGCTTGTTACAGTCCATTGCATTTCACTTAATTTTTTTATGGATAGACTTACAGGCTTTTTAAATCTTTATTATTATAAAACCTGCATTACGGGAGTAAAGAGTTAAATCATGAATGTAACGACTGAAAGATCATAAAAAAGCCTGACCTAAAAATGTTGACTTGAAATAAAAAAGTATTGTTGCCGTGGCTGACTACACGAGTAGGCCTGCGCCTCGCTTGGGATTTCGTGTCATCGTACACACAAATGCCCACATCACGATTTTATTCGAACATCAAATACCAAACAAGGAACATACTGGGACATATTACAACCTCAGTTGATTATTAAGGTTCAACGTTCAGCTACCGAATGACATCAAACAGCGGTGAAGACTGCTTACGAGTTACCCAATTTCAAATGACAAAATCGATAAGGTCAAGTGTAAGTCACCTCCTTGAAATAAAACAGCGCTGTCTACACCTTTCACGAAGAGACTTATCTCGATGCGTCAGTAAGTGAAATAATAATTTTAAATTTTGGAGAGGTAGGTCAACATTTCTAATAACCCAAATTAATTTAATTAGCTTTTCAGAGCACCTTTTAGTAATGAAATTTTCAGAAATTATAGATTTCATCACGCATAACAAGAATATTCTAAACACCCAAATTCGTTAAAACTGAGACAGGTCAGATCGTGGCACGACCGACGATTTGTACCGCATACCGCACCTTTTTGACGGCATCTTTGCATAATTATATACTCTGTTGTGCATGTGTGAACCGTCTTCGAGTTACGAATAGGACGAGCTGGCATTGGAAAGTCAAAACGAAAACGGTATTAAGACCAAAGATCATACAACTCACCAAATCCAGACTGAGCTCTTCTGTCGGTCTTCAAACAGGGAAAGAGCTTGGAGCCTACGACCCGTCGAATTTGATCACTCGCAAAGCTGAATGGATTAAAGGTGATGCACTGACAATACTGAACGGTCGGCTGGATGACGGTTTGGTTTCATGTACGTGTGTCCATGTATACATGTTCACTCCGCAGGAACCACAGTGAAGTCCTGTTCAATGATTCCAAAACGGTAGTTTCGAACCGCAGAGAGTAAACAATTACAGCGGTTGGCGCAATGACGAAGTCTGTTATCTGGTATCATATCCTCTTTCAGTAAGCTGGGTACTATCTCTGTTTTTCCCTCTTGGTGTTTGGCAGAACTTTGAGGGAAGTGTGTCCGGAATGGACAATGCCGCATCTCAATAGGGTAACAAACACAACCGTTCTGCGCGCGACGTGACCTAGCTTCTTTTGTACACAGCCAATGGCTTGTGCACGCAAATCTATGCAGGGCACATTTCGTCGAGTCGCGGATGGTTGGATCTCGTTGCTATTATAGTATTTCTTTTGTGTGCGTTGGGCAACCGCTGTTTACATGCAAAGAATTCCCTTTTGCAACATTAGTCGCCGGGTTTCGCTCAACCCTCACTTTTCCTCCTAGTTTACTCTGGCGTATTATGTTTAAATAAGCACCATAGCTATATCCCGATATCTCACACCCACGCTCTCAACAATGCCACAAGCTCGTGAATAGAGCTATCACTGGTATAGTTCGAGTCAAACACGTGCAGTTTTTCCACCTCTCACGTCACCCACCAGCCCTCCTGAGTTGTGGAGACTTTGAGCAATGATCAGTTTGACTCACGAACTTGGCCAACCACAGGCCTGACATTGCATTGGTCGCCAAGGCTGTGCTGAAGACACGATCCTTGAGCGCGCGTTACGAATGGCACATATACGCGTGCACCTCAGTGTCTGCCAGGTTAACGAAAAAGGGCGAAAACCGTTAGAATTGATACCTGTCCTTGATTTATCAACTGTCCGTGGCTGATACACTTCGGCCTTCAGCATTCAGTTGCGAGTCAACAGAGGGCGTCCAAAGTCGAAATACACGTAGATGCACATCACCAAGGACTGTCCCTTTTTCTTACTAGGACTAAATGCAATACAATCCGTCGCGGGGTCTTTTCTCCAACTTGTGACCGGGCCGATTGAATAAAAGGAAATCCCCGCGATTTACATCAGATGAAAAAGTGCGGTTACATCCAACCATGCAAGCTTCAGACTCTCTCGACTTAACGCAATATTCTCTGTTCTGGAATCTCATTAATCATTGACTAATTAAAAAATCGTGACGGATGCCTTGCGAAATTATTTCAAAAAGCAATATATTAAATGAGCATTCATTTCCTGACCAGAGACAGCTTTTCTTATAATAAATCGAGTAACACACTCGTGCAGTGTGAGGGTGTGTACTAAAGCAAAATCACGAGACAGACGGGTAGTCTCCAAACCACAAGGATCAGCGGAAAGCAATTTCAAAGCTGACAGAAAATAAGTTAGACAGAATCGGTTTATGAACCGTAACTGAAGCAGGACATCTTGTTTCAGTGACAGCTTACTTCCAAGAGGGAAATAAAATAGACCAAAAAATTGCCTTGCTCTCATTAGTTTGTCCCGAGGAAAAAATTGCTCTTCTAAATGGAGGGGGCCATGGACTCTGTGCCCCCCCCTTGATCCGGGAACCTACCGTATCAATCAAAGCTACCTTGCCACACAAGTGAAACGAGCTAGGCTTTGTCCTAATGTTCAAATACATCCCCGACATATGATGATCAATCACTTCGCTTTCAAAGTCAGTGATATAAACATCATATCGGAAAAGGATTGCCCAACTATGCCAGGCGACCTGGACGTCGTGTTATCGGCGGCTCGGAGCGAGCGTGGTTTAATATAATGGTTTCTGTTGTCTTACATTCATTCATTGTGTTAAACGTCATGTCGTCGGGATTATGTGAGCGTATAAAAGACCGAGGTTGTGAGCTTTTGGTTGGTTTGCGTTTTTGTGGTCTCAGCAGGTGTGAGGGTTGAAAATAATACTGTATCCGACCTCTCATCACTGTTCTGAAATCAAAGCAAGGTTCACTCGAAAGAGTCCTGTTTTGCAACAACTGCCCCTAAATTCCAATTCAGCGACAATGGGTACTGAATACCGCCTTGAGTAGAAGGACCCTCATCGTTTGAAAAGAGCCATTATTGGAAGCAAAGATGGTATAGCGCCCTCACTTGGTCCCACTCGGGGCCCATATTGGGTGTGAAAGAGGCGACAATGGCAAGCTTTATCAATATGCATGCTATGTTTTCATTGTTTCCTTTTCATTTTTTTTTGGAAGGGCAGCTCGCATTTCCAATAGAGGATTTGGGTAGTAGCCATCTTGCAGGACAGTTATTTTGCTCCACGGGGAAACATCCTCTGTGCATATCCTGTGGAACAAAAGCACTGCCCTACAGGATAGCAGGTATGGAAATCCTCTATCTGGCACCTGCGTGTGAAGCACTGCAATGGCGTGTTCAAAAGGAAATTTATTCTCAGTGCTGGCATTATGAAGTCCATCAGCCAAAAGTGATCAGAACGCTCAGCTCTTTCTTTTAGTATCAACCACCGCAAAGACTAAAGGTCACGAAAGATAAGGGTTTAATGTGTACGAGGATGAAAGAAAATGTATTTATTCGCATGTCTTTCACGTTTGAATAAAATTTCAGCAAAAAGCACAGCAGCTACGGTTGTGTTCCGCGACACGAACCATCACCAGACGTATCGCCATCACAGGAACGGCGCTGACACACACTGGACGCATATCAGATCGCAGCTCCGCGAAAGACGTCTTGGACCCAAGACTCCACAGCGCCAAAAGCAAGTAGTACCGGTGCAAATCTTTCAGAAAGGACGTCTGAGCAGGAGTCTATGCATGTATTAGGTACACATTATGGAGGTTAGGTTTGTATTTTTCTCCTTTGTCGTTTCCGGTCTGTTCCGTCTTGTTTGGCATCTCCTCTGGACAAGACGATGTTTCTCTTCAAGTCCAAGTTTTCTTAGCGAGGCGACGACACAGTTTGATATTGCATACATCTACGACCAGTTAAGGTGTCCGGGGCTACTCGTCGAAGTGCGCATACTGAGCTACATACAGCCCGAGAAACGACGATGCTTTCTGGCTAAGAAAAAAAAAGTTGAGCTTTTCCTGTTTTGAGGGCGTGGAAAACCGTCTACAACAAGGTCAATCAGATAGACAATTCACATCTTCAAAGGGACATACAAAAGGATAATACTAATACTGTCCCGAGCTCAACGGAACCTTGAACGGCTTAGCATTTAGTGTGTGATCTTTGCATCTCGACCCTTGTCTTGGTTGTAAGAAGCTTACCTATCCTATCTGTGTCATAGTAAATGCCACTTGACGCTACGGTTAAGGTCAGCATGTACTATTACTGATACTTAAATATAGAGACCCTTTCCAAGACATGGCACAACTTTCCAAAATGCAGAATCTCGTTGCGGACCTTTTATCCAAGCGTTTTTATAGACAACGGAACCTAAGTTTGGTTTAATATGCTATGGTATTATAAGCATTTCAATAAATGTCATTCGTCGATGTCTATATGAAGAGAGAATTATGCCGCAAATTCCGCCGTGATTTCATTCGACAATGTAAATATTAAATTCACCGTACATTACTGACTTTTGAAAGGGTAATGTCGGAGTAAACGTACCTAAGATGATCGATGGTAAAAATGAGTCAGATTGTTGAAAGACTGATGGCTAAATTTCCGTCGAGCTAGCTACCTAAAAGCCCCTGGATTCTGTTTGTTCAATTGCACTTTATTTTCTGCACGGAGTCAAATACATCGTCCGATTACATCTGCAAACTTATCAACACCCATCAAAATTTAGCGACATGCAGTCTGATTTCCTCCCACACAGAAACGAAGACGTCCTCTCCTCCATGGCCTTTTTGGAAAAAAAGAAGAAACTTACAATTATCTTCTCAGTCCTGATAATCTTCATCGACATTTTCTGTCAACACTTCACGGCTTGATGTTGTCGTGAATTTTAAAAAACTTTTCCCTTGCCAAACGAACTCGTCTGCGAAATAATTTTCACAGGGATAATTTGCGACGGTGTATTTTGGAAAGAGTTCAGCAGGCAAAGGGACAGAAAAATCATTTCCAGGGGACAGTTCATCGAGATGGGGTTGTGATTACTCAACCATTTACTCGACTGAAATGTTTGAACATGGTCATGACACTTCCTGTCTGCAATGTACCGTTTAAAAAAAAACAAATCGTTTCCCTTGCCACAATGACTCAGCGTCACTTCATAGTCTCAGCAGCAAACCAGCTTATCCGAAAATCAGCCAATTCTAAAAGCTCGTGCACCGTCCACACCCATATCTGATGCGACCGCTAGCCACATTATGACCGATAAACTGCTTGCCGCACAACGTGGTGGGCCTCTTACAACTCGACTCGAGGAGTAAATAGTTACGCGCTCCAACATCAAATGCGCCAATAAACAGCGGTGTAGCCAGAATTATGAGCACGGGGGAGGGGGCGAGCTGGGGGCTTCACACTGAGTGTGGTGGTGGGGGGCTGACTGGATGTTGGACATTACACGTACACCCTTTTCCGAAATACAAGTGGAGGGGCGACGATTTTTCATGCGGGGGGGTCCCCCAGCCACGCCGCTGCCAATAAAAGGTGCGGTGCCATGAGGCCTCGTTTGAAGAAGGCCATGTGATTATTTCTTCTAAATCTAGTCCTCGTAAATTTACTTTTGTATCCCATTAATTAAATCCCATTTGAAATTCTCATTTTGCCATACTGGTATCAATTTTTAAAGTCATGCGCGAATATTCTAAAGTAACATTTACTTTAACGATGGTTAGACCTTAAAGAATTCATTAAGAGCTTTTACCTCATACTTCTAATCTACCGAGTATATGCACAGATTAATTTATTCTTGCCGTATTTTCTATTTACATAATTTAATTTTGAAGTTATTTATTGTACTCTCGTTTCCAACCTAGGGCTGGATGAACAGACTCTCGAGTCACAGTGTTTTTCACTTTTGTTTATCCTGACCACCCTAGATTGGATTGTCCTTCGTCCCTTTACCCATACCCCCCACACCCAACCCTGTCCTCCCCTCCCTTCCGAAACCCCTCCCCTCCCCACCCTAGTCCCCTTACCCCCCGTCCATACCCAATTCACACTGTCCCCTTTCTCCGCTGAGTGTGTTCAGCTGATTGTTAATTTATATTTTTTTTATTTCTTAGCATTATGTTCATGTGATGCCTTTTGTTTTGTCTGTATNACATGAAATGACCGAATAAATAATAAGAGTAATAATAATAATAATAATCTAAAATCCCATTTTAATGGGCTCAGAGCTGGACCAAGAAAAGGCGCAACAGAGGCTCCTTTGGCAGGAACTGCGCATCGCTGGTTCACGAACGACGACTAAGAAACACAAAAGTTGCAGTCGAATCGCTACCAACAAAATGAACAGTCCCGACCAACATGGCTCTTTTCAACCTATGCTCGGGAAATTTTTGGCGGTGATTGCAGGGGAGGATTCAGGATTTGGTGCGAGGATTGGGGGGGGGGGATTTCAGTTCGTACAAGGGAATGGGGGTTACTACATGTAGTTGTCGCGGACCATGAAGCCATTTCATCTCCGTTTTGTCTTTAACCATGCACGAAAAATAAGACCCCTGCATGGTAAATGCATTTAGGGCGTCCCCATGCAACCTTTCGACGTAGCCCCCCCCCGGACAATGCACGTTCACTCAATGTTGTGCATCAGTTCAGATTGAACTTCAGGCAAATAATCCGATCTGAGCACCAATATCCGACCTGATGCGCGCGACCCGACAAAAAAAAATAGAGTGAAACCGACTCCAACCCCCACACATCTGGCTCGGATAAATCGTCCAGCAGTATACAGGCGTCCTTCCATTATGTACGCTTTTGGGATGCGTTGCCTTCGGTTGTCAAAGTCACCCCGGGAGCGGTTTTTACGGATACACAACGCTAGGCGCAAGTGTTGACACTCATATGGAAAGGCGCCTTGACTCTGCAACTAGAAGCCATAACTGCCACGGCACAATGCTCATGGATAGATGGTACGCGCGCGTTAGATTGTCTCTTTGACCAACAGGGTGTTGTCATTTCCCAAACCACACGCGCGTCAAGTTTAAGAACGCCCCACCGCAGTTGCGGCACTTGCTGGGATTAAAGTCTGTAATATTTCCGCTGTCTGTGCTTGAACATATAATTATTCGACAAATTCTTTTGGAAAAATCGCTGCCACAATTCAAAAATGTAAAATGTGTATCTTTTACAGTCACAGTTTGAGGTGTAAAAAGTCATACAGGGAAAAAAACCACGCATTTGAGTCATTTTGAGGAAATGGCGGTTTTTTCAGAATGACCAATTTCACACTGGGCAACACAATATGCCTATCTTTGACGATTCATTATGTTATGGATTATAAATCACATTATAAACATTTTTATCACATCGATTTCTGCGTCGGTTTCCAGATTTAAGTTAAGAAATAGGGCAAAAAATAATTCCGCCAAAATCACGAACTGACTGCATGTTTAACTTCTTAAAATACTGTTAGCAAATTTAATCATTGAATGTCAAAATTCAGGCGCAGTATATTACATGTACACCAGCCACCGTCTTCAATTAAAACATTTTTCATCTTCAACCAAGGGAAATTCAAAGCAATATTGCTTTCGAGTCTTCCTTCCCCCCAAACGACAGAGATCTACCTTCAAATTAAAAATAAATTTGACTGGGGTTGATGACACGTCACGTTTTCCGCCAGTTGCATTCTTTGTTTTCTTTCCAGCGGCCCCGTCCTTCTGCAAACATTTCCTGTCAACAACCAGCACAAAACAGGAAATCCAAGTGACCCCGGTACTTCAACAAAATAAGGCACAGGCCAAGAGCCGCTCCATCAAAGTGAGGAAGAAACAATCTCTGCAATAACACATGAACGACAAATTTCTCCCCTGAGTCATTATACTAAAGAATTCAGGCAAGTTTGAAACTACTTCTTAATAATCAATTTATGGTGATTTAGTCAACAACCTGTCAGTGCCGGTATTTTTTTCCCCAGTGAAGTTCCGTGTTTAGATTGATTTGTCACTGAGACCGACTCGCTCCGATTCTTCAAGCGGATTGAGCTGATGAGCATCTCTGTTGAACGAGTTACGACAATGTAGATAAAGGCAACCAGGAAAAACCTCGCAAAAATCCAAAGCGAGTCTGTGCTGGAGGTTTCAGTTACAGTACTTTGGGAAAAAAAATGGAATGGAATAGATTAAATTAAAGAGCAGAGCCTCTGAAGCTTTCTTCCTCATTTTGGACAGAGCAGATCACATATGACAGAGCGAGCCTGTTTTGTTCATCACATTTCGCTGATTCACTACTGACGGGATTAGGTCTAGAATCTAGAAATCTTGACAAAATCCTCGACAAAACCTCTTTCATCATGTAACGTGAAGTCTGCTAATGACTTCCACTTCCATTCCCTAGAAAAGCGCGGGAGGTGATTACTTTGGACACCATCTACAACGTAAAACAATGTGCTAGGCATAAGACAATGTTAAAGAAGAGGAAAGAGGTTTTGGACAGAGTATGTAGGAGAATGCAACAAGGGATTTCTCACTTTCTTCCAGATGGGAACGGTTGCTTTCAGCGTATCAATGCTGTACTGCACTGCCTCCAAAGATGCCTGTCGGTGAGGGGAAGACACAGCGATGATGACACTCGCTTCCTGAACGGGTACGACGCTGTACAAGGAGATAGGGGGACAGATGGGGAAGCGCATTTTTGAAGTTGACAAGAAACCTGAAAGAATATCTCGGTTGGGGAAAATATGTGTTGGCTTCAATGGGAATGATTTTAGACAGCTGTAAAGACAGGGCATTGCTGGAAAACGTTAATGATTGAAAAACAATGCTTCTTAATTGGAAAACGTACTGGTGCACGCAAAGGGAATGTCCAGTGTTCCAAAGTGCATGCACCCAATACAAAAAGCACTGCAACCCCTGCCATCCAGCAGCAAACGGGTATACAGCCTTACAGGCATGCACACTTTATACCCTCACCACGAACACTCTCGATTTCTAAGAGTCAACACTTGACCGAGTTTTATTATGGGGGGGGGGGAGCTGGTTAATCAGCAATCCACGGATGAAGACAGGATCATACATCTAGCATTGCAGAGTTTATAAAGGGATGTGCAAAGGGCAATCATCGGAATCTACAGTGAAAGAGGTACACGGTCCGATGAAGCCATTAATTTCTATCTTCGGCTGTGGCCCACGAATTTACCATCGACACTCCTAAAATTGTCCGTGTTCAGGCCTGCTGATGCCAGTGCAGATCAAATGGCATTAACCGTTGATGTGAGCACTTGGGTGTATTTGTGGCTGAAACTTCAGGCTGTGAAATGATAAAGGTACCTGTGCATGTACCTCAGGCTCAATACAACCGTGAAGAAAGGACAAGGCAGGGGTAATACGGGCGATTCACAATAGTGCGCCTCCAAGAGTTTCAACGCGTTGGCCAATCACGATGCGCGAAATATGTCAACCCTTTCCAAACGCACATTGGGTCGGCAGATTTCGCGCATCGTTACCAGCCAAAGCGTGGCAAACTCTTGGATGCGCGCTATTGCGAAACGCCCGTATTCGATAATCATCAACACATTTTCTGGGCAAAACAAGACCAGTGTGATGAACACGTTTGGATATTTTTTCTGCGCACTGATTTTGATCCCTACGTGGGCGAGGAAGTTTATAACCACCTCTACAATAAAAAGGAAATGTCACTGAGGGCTGTTCTCATCAATCTGCCTATCAATCTTTAAAGGTCCGCTTTCCCATTTGTAACTGTTTGGTATGGAGGGTTATAACTCCAACATGTCCACTCAAACAAAGCTCTGTTTTGGTATTAAATTACTGCCGAGCAGGTTCTGGCAATATTTGTCAAACCCTTTTGTACATTTCAAACACCACTGCACTTAAAGCCAACAGAGGCAGACGGGAAGGCAGCTGGGAAAGTGATGCTCTTGTCACAGAGAGAGGAAGCAGCAATGGTACACGCATAAGCCACTCCAAGGGCTTATCAAAACACTCGGCAACAAATGAAAACATCTGAGGCCGGGGGGGGGGTCATCAGTGGGTGAATTCTGCCAGCTGCCGACGCAGTGTTGAATGCTTTTTGCTCCGGAAGTGAGGATTAAAGTCCACGATCACACACTTGAGACATAAGCTGATCAAACAATGACGAATCAAAAGTTCTCGGCGCTATTCAGCAGGAATTAAGAATGGTGAAAGCTCAAGTTAAACGTAAGAAGGGGATCTTTCAGAGGGGGGACGCCATCTTACATTTAATAATAATAACAATTTATTTCTTTATAGTGTTTCTTGTTACTGTTACCATTGCGTGTCCTTACTATTGAGGAAGTACAGGTATACAGTACAATATTGCTATTTTGGTACAACCACCTGACCCAAACGAAATCACTTCAGAGTGGAGAGATGCAAACTGAATTACATGGAGGTAGCTTGGCAGAGGACAAAATACACATCACAACCCCAGGTGTTGGACTGTAACCAGTTACTTGAAGATTTTACCCATGTCAAGCCGAGGTTGAGGCCCCAGGCGCTCAGGCTGCTGCTACCGTGCTCACAGTGTACATGATATCAAGGAGTAAAGAGCGACTTGATTTGGCACCCAAATGACAGTGTTGTAGTCAAGTACTTTTCAAGTACCAAGGTTCTCTGTCAAATATTGAACTGGGTAAGAGGGAATAAAGCTGGAGTACTTTCCGAAGGCATTCGATGGTAAATGCTCAAAGGTAAGATTACAAATGAAATGTACATGTAGGACTTCAATCACCCCCAGTTTTGTAAAATTTAAGTTTCAAGGAGAAAAGTACTTGAAAGTACACTGTACTCGGTCGAGTACTTTTCAAGTACTGTTGTCCTAAAACTCAAATTTTACTCAAAAGTGATGGTTTAAACTCATTCTACTTTGTAATCTTACCTTTGTTCAAGTATCATCAAATGTCCATGTGCTTCAGCTTTGTTCCCTCCTAACTAGTTAAATATTAGGCAGAAAACTTGGTACTTGAAAAGTACTTGACTACAACACTGCCAAATGATATGGTTAATTCATAAACCCAAGTCATACTGAATCCAAAAGGATCTAACGTTTCTTGCATAATCCAACGGGTCCAATTCTAAATCTGTTGGACTTAGTAACAGTGAACTTAGTTGGGCTCCGTTGATTTAGAGCAGATAACCGATAAATGTGCACAGTGGTTAGGGTTATACTTATGTAGCACACACTATCGTGCAGCGAAGAAGCCTTCTTTTCCAAAAGCCAACCGTAATAAGAAGGGGAAAAAGACAAACCGAGGGGTATTTCCTGGTACTTTCCTGCAGTTATTCCATGCACCTACACAAGCACACCATAGATACACATGACTGCTTGATGACATTCACGTCATTCACACGGATCGTTAAAAGCATCCCTGTGGGATGGCAAAAACCGGGTTTGACTGTTGGAACATCCCGAGAGAACCTGGACTTGATGTCGTCTGGCATTAAGATTGATGGCTCATGTGCCGTGCTGAAAATCCAACATCATCTCCAGGCCTGGTCTGCATTGTTCCCATACTCTGGCTGTTTCCAATTTCTACCCATTAAGGATGCACATTGTGGGGAGGGGAGGCTGGTTGACAAATGCTGGTCAAAAGGATCTCCTGCTGTTTTCATCCATTCAAAACATGTATGAATATCCTCATTTGTATTCCATAAATTCATTGAAAACGGTTTTCATGGGCCTTTTTAATAGAAATGTGGTTCGGTGACGAAAGCCTTTTTTGGGGTACAGTGCTTAATTGTACAGAATGATGTTCTTTAAAAAGACGACCGGACCTGTAGATCTCATGTACATTTAATGGAAGTTGTCATTTCAAATCAATTAAAAATTCGGGATCAGAGAGGGTATTTTGTTTTGGCTTTCAAAATGCTTAAATCTTCTCAACTTTGACGTATATGTCAATTTGATTTTGTCACAGCATAGGATATTTGATTATTATACTTGGTTTTTTGATCTTCCAAAAAGTTTTGCATAAAAATACAGCATTTAATTCATTAAGATCTATCCCAACTTAGATCAAACAATTTTGATTAATACGTGGACTTTATCACGTTACTCCAATCCCCTTCTTAGCACCCTCAACCAAATGGTGAGAAAGGAGACTCATGTTGGACCAGCTTTGACCACTGACTCAACTGTGCTGAATTAATGAGCCCACTGGTTGGGTGCTGGAGACGGCTAGAGCCAACTCCGCCAACGGAACCACTGCTCATTAGGCAGCTGGGTATATCTGGTTTCCGTGGCAACTAATTACTTGAAATTTTCAATCTCCTCTAGAGCATTATCATCAATTTTTCAAGGAGGTCTCTTCAGTATAGAGCTCCTCAATGCACAGGAAAATGCACAAATATTTATGGAGAAATATTATGGAGAAACCATGTGAAGGGAGAATTTTGGAACAGCCTGCTTAAAACTGGATGGGGCCTTAGATGATAATGGACCTCTGAAAATACCTTTTTGTGTGAAAAAAGTAAACATCAATCGAAAATGCATACATATCTTTCTCAACAGAAATTTTCACCAGTCTTGTGTTATGTTTTGTATAACAACCCTTGAGCCATATCTATAGTATGCGAATCGCAGATGCACAACAACAGTCTCCCGTTACGGAAATTACCATGCTCGGTGTGTGCTGCATGATGTGAAGCAGAGCGTAGTTGAGGAAGCATGGACTAAAATTCCTACTCCATGAAATGCAGACTCACTGGATTATACTGAGCATGTCTACCTAACGATGATGTTTGTCATGTAGGAGAGACTTGACTCCATAACATAGGAATCCAACTTTTATATGAAACTGGGAAAGTGTTTAAAAACCAGTTGGTACCTTTATCAAAACCAGTTGGTACCTTTATCAAAACCAGTTGGTACCTTTATCAAAACCAGTTGGTACCTTTATCAAAACCAGTTGGTACCTTTATCAAAACCAGCCACATGACAGGCTCTCAACCAATAGGGATAGAGAAACTGTCTGAGGTACTTATGAACACATTTCTGTGAGGGCCTGTTTGTTCCACACGGATCTGGATCTCATTCAGTGATCCCAACCCGGTTCCCACCATCCACTATACGTATGCAGGTTTTGATGTCTGTACACGAACGACGGATCACTGATCGTGATTCTGATCTGTGTAAAACAAACGCAGCCTGAGTCTCCGCTGTGAAATCAGGGAGCATCTCAAAAGTCCGAGGAATTTCTGCATTCCATTGGATTATTCCCACGGGAACAGTGTGAAGTTTAGCATCCGCTCCACTACCACCTCTAAAACACTTGAACATTTGCATGCATCTAGTCAACTGTCCATTCTGAGGAAGCAAGGATGGAAACGCAGTGGGGGATTCTTTTCTTGAAATTTTTTCCTTCCTTTGGAGTGGTTATCAGTAAAGATGGAGGAACCCTAACCTATTTCTTTTTCATTCTTGACACCTACGCCTACATTTATAGATTGATCAACGTTGGCCCAATTTGCAGACACATGTGACCTCGACCAACTGCTAAAACCCTTTAACAAAACAGCGCAGACCTCGCTGAGGGGCACAGCAGCAGTCACCTTACCCTATCCTGTGGAAGACAGCCACGTGTTCCACCTCCCACTTCTCTCGGACATCCCGACAGATGCAGCCAATCTTCTTCTCGGCCATGGGGACGTATGCCTCGTACTCCAGGCGGACAACCTCCTTGCCCTCAAAATTGTTCCTGGTAGTCCCTAGAAGGAGATTGAGGAAGCAGGAGGCTTCAAATTATTCACCATCAAAAGTGAACGGTGGGGTACTTTCCACTCTGTTTGATGCATGCTTATCGTTTGAATGTGGTACCTGTTTGCAAGCCCAAATTATTCACCACCTAAGCCAAATTTGACTGAATCTCCCCCCCCCAAAACGTCTAGAGGGCACTGTTCAGTTTAAACTCAGTTTCCACATGTTGCACTAAAAGGAGCACACCCACTGAACTTTTCACCATGAGGAATGGTGCAAACGGTGGTGGTTCCCACCTAGTGATTTCCACTGAAAAGAATTGAAAGACCAAGGGGTAAGATTTCATGGCTCAGTCTATTAGAGTTGGGACCATCTTCCATGAGCTAAGGGATGCCCACATGTACGATTCAAAAACTGTAAGTTCACAGCTCTTCAAATATTGCAGAGAGAATTTGTGTAATCAGCGTAAAGGATCATAGTTATTACGGTAGTTTTACAAGAAGCTAACAGGTCATGTGAAGTTTCTCTTACCAATAAAAATTGAAATAGCACCTGAAGTAGGGGAGGAAACCATCGCCGTTGCCTTCTCCACGCTCAAGGGGTCCGAGGTTATTTGTACAAAATCTTTACCTTCCATCTTTTGGTCTTTTCCTTTGGAATGAAGAAAAACAAAAACAAAACCAAACCAAATTGTCAGCTTTTGCTGGAGGCCAGGGGTTATGACAGTCAAGCGAACTCGTGGGGGGGGGGATGGGCCCTGACTCTTGATATCAAGGGCATTCATAAACAGACCAAAAAATATCATTATGAAGGGTGAATTGTGAAGTCCTCCAATTCGTGATATATTTTGTTCTTTTTTCCCCAGTACCTTTGCACATACAAAAAACTCTGCTTTAATTACGCTCTTGTTTTTCTCTTCAAAGAATTCAATAACATTACAAGAATGAGATTAAAACAACTCCAAACACCTTTAAAGTGCATATTCTTGGCCTGCTTTAGAACTTACGATAATTTTTTCATCATTTACATGCCTGCCTGATCTTTAAAAAGTAACTTATTTGGGGTGAATTTCACCATTTCATTGAAGTTCACTGAATGCATCTATCTGAAATCTGTAAAACTTCTTTGTAACGTAAACAACCCAATTATGAGGACTCTGAAAGTTCAGACGGCCTGACAAATGCCACTTCCAGTATCCCGTTTTGGGCATTTCTACCATCCAATCAGCAACCTACATGTAAGCAGGTTAATACCTGACATTTCTATGACATGTACACGTATGAAGAGCAAGATCTGTATTCAAAACTGAAATTTCATGCCGGCCTTCTTAGGCTCTTTGCAAATTGCAATGCCTCGACTAAGTCAATTTTGCGAAAATGGTAGGCTGGATTCTCCAAGTTGAGCTTCAGAGCAGAGCCTTACCGATCGCTAGTAAAGTTATGCAAATCCCTGCTAATGCCGCCTAGCCTCCACTGATTGGTGGGATTACAGCGATCTCATCATCAGGTCGAAGGTCGAGGAGGTCATCACCACTGGCAATGTACTCTTGGTTGACAGCTAAAACCACGTTGTCTTGGATGACAGCAAGCCTTGACAATATAAATAAATTAATTGGCCTTAAGAATAACAAGGACATCACCAATTTACAATTAAAATACCAGAACAACTTTTTTCTCCTAGGCAAATAAATATTTAGGACTGTGCTCCCTAAAAAAATCCTCAGCAGGTACATGTACACGTATGAGTCTACCAAAATAAAAAAACATGACATGTATGTACGGAAAGGAAACAAGAAATTTGATGTGACCAAACAACCAACAACAGGCCTTAGTCTTCAACTATATGAAGCTGGTGCACTAAGGAAGAACGGCCTACATGTATGTGAAGAGTGGTTGCCATTTATACCATGATGTATATAGTGGCAGTGCACATGAAGTGAGCCGAGTTGCAATATTCAAGAAAAAACACCTTTAAAAACTGGCAGTGATATTCATCCGTCACTGGCAAATTTATACTACACTGTGACATTTTGCCGGGCATATGCGCAGTATCTGCTTTTGTGGACGTTGTGGACCGTGTTTTTGTGGACCGTGACAGATCTTAGTCTGGTTCTGTGAAAACATAGTCACTGTGACTTTGTATTCACGAGGTGAGAATCAGACCTTTTTTAGAATTTTAGTTTTTTTCCCTTAATAAGAAAAATCCTCCAGAACCACGAATTTGCAAAAGAAAATGCAAAATTCTGTAATCAAGTCGTGGGGTCAATTTAAGACAAACAAAAAGAATAACATTCTTGATTTTCGGGACAAAAACAAGGACACTGGGAATCGAACCCAGTCATTGTACATGTAGGAGCACATCATGTGATTTCAAGATGTACGCACTATGCATTACATGTAGACCACAGACCCTGCTCGATTCTGGAGGTGATCTAATAACCTTTCTAAGCTTGCTCATGTATACGCATCAAAGAGGGCAATGCTTTCTTGTGG